CAGAGAAAAAGAGGAAGACCTCCAACGAGATGGATCAGCTAGGTGACATCATTGATGGCGTCAAGTGCGGCGGCGGTAGTGAGATTGGCCCAGGATTGGACATTGTTTCGTTCTGCTGTGCATGGGGTCGCTATGAGTTGGTTCCGACTCGATGACACCTGACAACAACAACAACATAAAGTATCAACTCTTTTTTGAGAGCTTCTTGTAATTCTAGTTTTTAATTATTTTCATCATCACAGACTTAACCTTCTACCTGAAAGAAAATTGGTTTTATAAGTAATCACTTGACACAAGAAATTGGTTGCAAAGAGCTTGCATGGGCAAGGCTGTTATTGCCAGCCACATGCATGAGTTGTTTTTAAATTTATGTTTATTTATTTTTAAATATTTTATTGTGAATTATGAGATAGCTTACATGAGAGAATATTAGCTTTACATTCAACCTGTCGTATATCATTTCATTGCCATGATTATAATCCCCTCCATGCATCATCAAACAACCCGCAAGCCTGCCCCTCAGTTGTCAGCACAAAGCCCCTCTCCCTCTCTGGGTCTAGAGTCCCCAGCCACTCCATCTCTCCACGTCATCATCTCTGCTTCCATCTTTGGTGTCACTGTTTCCCTGGGTAGGGTCCCACACTCCGCTGGTCTCCCTTGATGGTCCCAGGAACCTCTGCTCCTGGACTGCAAAGTCAACCACTCCCCTCCTTTTGCTATAAAACATCTGCCTTTATACATTTCCAACCCTCACAGTCAGTCTTGATAGCAATTATTCACAATTGTACCACAAGAGTCATAGCCCCAACTCCTTTCATCAGCCTTGCCCATGCAGATTGGATACTACTCAGTGGAGATTCTACCTTCCTCTGTGCCCTCTGGATCTAGGCTCCCTTTTGAAAACTTGTAAGCCAGTCACTTCTTGCCTTTGTAGTTCCTACCATTTTGGGTAGCCAGTGTCCAAGTTGCCCATCCCTGTCTACTCTGTGTATGGAGGGGGTGGGAATGATCCTCGCTGTAAAGATTTGTTCCCTCTTTTGAGCTATTGCATTGATAGGTGTAGGTCACATTCATCAAATTGTATCAGATTACTCTTTTTTTCCTCTTCTTTCTTCTTCTAATTGAGTTCTGATCATCCAGCCATTGAACCCAGGTCAAGAGGGTATTATCTACAAGTATGGGTGTCCTTGTGCATATTCCCTCACTTCTTATCAGCTGGACTCTTCACTCTCGACTCTAGTCCTCTGTGGCTGTCACTGACTCTGAGTCCAGGAGTCCCCAGGTCTTGCCATACTGCTGGACAACCAGGTCTCCACCCTGGTTCACAGGAGTCTGTTGAATGTGGTTGGACTTAGCTCGCAGCTTCATTGCAGTTTTTCCTTCACTTCCCCTTATTGGTGACCAACGTGTCTGCTCATGTATTCTCCTTGAGTCGTAGTTTTGGTAGGGGGTTTGCCTGAGGGGACCTGACCACTTGCCTTAATGTCTCCTGGGTGAGTAACTAGCTTGTTCTTGTAGTCGTCAGTTGGACTGCTGTTACTGTTTTGTATTTTTCCTGTTGATCTTTCTTTCTGTTCTTATGTTGCTTTTCCTGGATTCTTCTGAATTTTTTTCTGTGTTCTTACTTCCTTGATCTTTTTGCCAATCCTTTGAAGACATCTAAATCTCATTGCTTTTCAATTGTTTCCATTTCCTTTTCTTCCTCAGAAATGTATTCTGGCTCTACATCTCTGTAATTGGTTTGAACAATTCTTTCTTGTTTCCTCTTGTTAGCTAAAATTGCATCCTTTATCCAGGGCATTTTGGTTTTTGTATTTAATTGATGGTTATATGTTAATGTGTTTTTAGGTTCTCACCAGCTCAGTTCCTGGTGAGTGTGATTAGAGAATGGAAGAGTGTATACTGTTTCCATTTGCTGTTATGGTGGGTTTGACTTGTGTTGTTGGCTTATACTACCATTGGTCAGATGGTCTAGGAGCTCTTTGTTCAGTGGGTGGAGCTACAAAGGGCATGGTTGTGATTGAGTTGATGGGTGTGGTTGCTGCCTACTGACAGGTGGGACAAGAGGAGAAAAAACACACAGGAAAACAAAATAGAACAATCAAACAAGCAAACAAAAGTGAAACCAGAATATAGTGAAGGAGACAAAAAGGAGGAAAAAAAATATACATAATAACTAAAAAGAGTAAAGAGGAATGGGAAAATAGAGCTATACAAGTGAAAAATAAGAGAAAATAAAGGCAAGAGGAAAAAGCACTGAAAAAAAACCCCAGAGGTGATGAAAAGAGACAGAGACTAGAGAGTAGTAAACAAATATTAAGAGAAACAAAAGAAGAAGATTGTGGAAATGAGAAACAAGACAGAAAAAAAAAAAAGTAGAGATAGGATAAAAATCAAGGGAAGGAAAAGAGAGGAAGGAGAAGAAAGAACTAACAAACAAAAACAACAGAACAATTCGAGGAAAAAATAAACAAACAAAAAATCAATGCAGTTGATGAACCTAGAAAGAAGAAAACTGGGAGGCTCTTGCCAGCCAACGAACTCACGATTTAGGTGGCAGACGGATGTGATGGCTGAGTTCCAAGCCCTTAGATGGAGTTCCTGTAAGGCTAGGTGTTGTCTATGTTTGGGTCACCTAATCTAGAAGTAGTTTGTGGAGGCCCTTCAGATCTTTAGTATCAGTGTCTGCCAGAACCAAAGAGCAGCTAAGAGCAGGGTGGCTGGTTATAAAAGTTCCTGCTGGTTCGGAGGCTTTTTGGTTTCCGTAGATCTGGAGCAGAGTCTATCAGAACCCAGGCACACTGGGCATCTGTGTCATACTGCCTCTGGCCATCTGGCTCCAAACTCCTGAAGAGTAGGAGCCTGCACTGGGGGCAGATGAGGATGGGGACTGGCTTCAACTCTGTTATCCAAGAGAGTATGGTAAACAAGAAGGAATCATACCTTTTCCATTGCCCTTGTCAATCGGCACTGTTAGGCCACTATCTGTCTGTTTCTCCAAAGCTCTTCACAGAAGTTCAAGATGCCACACTGTGTCTGGCCAGCAGTGTATTCACCAGTCAGTCTCCTTCTTTTGCCGTCTCTGCTAAGCTTCTCTTCCCAATAGTAATTTAATCCACTTTTCTAACTTTCCTCTGAAGCTCAGGGTTCTAGAATTGTCCTCTTTGTCTGTTTACTTTGGTCTCCCCTTTATCTATCCTGTATCTGTGTAAATGTGACTGCCCAATCCCTTGTCTTGACTGAAGTCTCCCAATAGCTTTCCATTTTTAATCATTTTGTTTCAGAAAGGTTTCTATGACTATGTAGTAGCAAGCACTTTTTGGTTTACCCTCATGTATGTGCTAATCCAGGGCATAAGTTTTCAGGTAATGAGATATTGAATTGCTGGAATCATTATTTAAGTGTTCCTCCTCAATAGCGGAGCAAGGAGAAGAGGAACAGGACATCAGAGCAATCGGCCTTCTGTGCTTTCTCTAAATGAAGCCAAAAGATGACTTTTGCCTTTGGAATATGACTTTGTTCAGGTGTAACTGGTCCTGGATCACCCCAACTACTGTTCCTCTCTTACATTAATTTTTCACGTTTAGCTATGAATACAGTTTTTGTTTTTAACTACTTCTTGTAATTTAGGTAGAGGCCCCTGAATTGCAAATTTTGTTATTAAAGCCTTGCTAATTTTAAATTTAATGTTATTTTAAAATATGAAGTTTAGGTAAGTTAATTGGCTTAATAAATGTTTTGTTAAATGTTATTCTAACAATGATTTTTTTAATATTGAATTTAAATCCACAAAGTTAATTTCAATTTACCTTGAATTTTTGTCTGATTATAAATCTTCCCAGGGTGAATACATAGTTTTACAAGAGTTAGACAGCTATGATACTAAAGCTAAATGACTTAACAGATTTTCTGATGTATTTTATTACCAATTTTTTTTTTCCTTCTAGAAAACTGTGGAACATACACTAAAAACATGAGACCAGTATATCCAACGAAAACTTTTCCCAATCACTACAGTATTGTCACAGTAAGCTATACGTTTCAAATTTTTGTGTTCATGAGGAGTCCCTGGGTTTTTCAGCTGTTACATGCTCTTCTACTAGCAGAGAGGTTGACAATTTCAGCATTCAAAGGTGCCTTGGAAAACATCCTGGTGAACTGCTTCCCAGAGGTCACAATCTTGAAAACCGTGTGTTACAGTTCTAATCTGTACATACGGGATTGTCATGAGTTAGACTTGGCTCAGTGGAAACTAACTAAACACAACTGGTTCTTAGAAACCCACTCCATCAAGTTGATTGTGACTCATAGTGACCCTATAAGATAAAGCAGAACTGTTCCTTAGGGGTTTAGAGGCTGTAAATTTTTATGGGAATCAACAGTCTAACCTTGCTTCCACCTTCATAGAAAAGAAATGTAAATACAATGTGTTTTTATGGGAATAAGTAGGTTTTCAGATCATATAAAAAAAATTCTGATGTTCATTCTCCATTGAATGAATGTTTACCTACATGAGGACACCTAAGTTCTGGTCTTTTTTCTGCCACTAACTTGCTGCAACCTTACAAAGTCACTTTACCTTCTGCATCTCAGCTTTCTCATGTTTAAAAGGAAAGGAACTAAAGACCGCCAAAATGATTTCTTAGTTTTGTTTTAGTTTTAAGATTCTCTGATTCTTGTGTCCTGTTTTTTTCTCACTTGTCTCATAGCTTACTTCATACCACCCTCAGGGACTCAGGGACTCAGAATCTGAAGCAAGCCACTTTGCCTGAATGCACTTGGGATTACAGCCCTGCTTTTGAGTAAATCACAGTTTCCAGATTCAATATGAATCCAGAAAACAGTAGACTTCATTAAGCTTTAAACCTGAAGCCAGAAAATTAGTACTTTAGCTTGTATTCACCCAAGGTGTTCTTAGACCCAAGCAACAAGGAGTTTGCTCTGCAAAAATACTTTATCCAGCAATTCAAAAGGATAACAAGTTTCCCCCCAATTCCAAAATTGAGGAGTCATGCCAGTTTATTTAGAGCTTCATCCGTAACCTTCCCAATTTATTTCCTCCTGTTACATAATTTGAAATGTAAATACTGCACATTTTCTTGAGTGGGTACCTTTTGACACCCTTCTTTGTTCTTCTCTTTTTAAGCTTTATTATAATTCCTTGTAGTTGTAATTATTCATTTCTCATTGACCATTTTATTCTCAGACTTGACTCAGCTTTAGAAAAATTCATAAGTTGCATAAAACCTGTATTTTTTTTTTTTAAATTTCTTTAGGGACTTTATCCAGAGTCTCATGGCATAATTGACAACAAAATGTATGATCCCAAAATGAATGCCTCCTTTTCTCTTAAAAGTAAAGAGAAATTTAATCCTGAGTGGTACAAAGGAGAACCAGTGAGTTCTTGGTTTGTTTGTTTGTTTTAGCTATTATAAAATGGTGTATTATTTTCATCAGAGTAAAATACAAGATTTTGTGGAGTTTTTAATAACTTGTTGCTGTGTTCATCCTTTTGTCAGTGGAGAATGAATGCTGATCATTCTAATTACAACTTGTGTGTGTATAATAAAAGTAGTTCATTTCAGAGCTGGGTTTGGGTCATGCTGAACCATTTCTCTTTTCTCTTTGATTTTCCTTTGTATCAGTAGCATAATAGCATTAGTTTGGGGGCGTGGCACCTTTCTTCTGCCAAGGGCCATTTGGATATTTATAACATCACTCGCAGGCCATACAAAATTATAACTTAAAAGTTAGCCTGCTGTACCAAACAATAGAAAGGTTTATAAGAGGAACAATTTCACTAGAGAGGTATACAAATTTAGAATGATCAACCATTGAGCTAAAAAAAGGGCAGCATTTACCCAAAGACCTTAAGAAAAAAGGAGGAAAGGGAATGGGAGACACAGAGAGGAAGTGTCTCCCTGATGTTTCATAGTGTGTTTCATTGTGTGGCTTGAAATCAGGAGATGAAACAAAATGTGTGTGAATCATTAAATGGAAAACCAATCTGCTCCTTACCTGGTTTACTTGTTTATTGTCTCTCAGATCAAAAGATAAACTACAAAAGGGCATAGAAAAAACAAAAACAAAAAATAGCCTGCTGTAATGTGATGACTAGAACTGCAGTTACCTGGGCAGGGCCAGACCAAATGATTTCGAGGGTCTTATACCACCCTCCAGACGTTCCCCAACCTGGTGTAGGGGAATAATTGTATTCTCTACACAAGGCTAATTCCTTTCTGGAGAATGTTAAGCCTTAGCTTCATTTGTATGTATTAACTTAGAAGTTTCTCTCTGATTTCTGATTTAGATGTGTTCTTTTTATTTTTTAAAATTGCCATGGTAATTATACCAGAACTATTTGGATAGTCATGATATTCATGTTAAAATGAAAAAGAACCAAACGGTTAAGATTATCATTGTTGTTACATGCCTTCCAGTCAGTTCCAACTCATAGTGACACCCTGTCTAGGGTTTCTATGGAGCGGCTGGTGAGCTTGAAATACAGACCTTGAGGTTCAAACCAACTTTGCAGTCCAGTGCTTAGATTGCATGCCATGAATTCAAACTCCAACTTTGACATTTAGAGCTGTGTGAATGAGCAAATTATTCTTTCTCTGCTTCAGTTTCCTCATATTTACGCTGCAGATAATACTGTTAAGTACCTCAAAGGGTTACTATGGGGGTTATGTAAATTAATAATGTAAAACATTTCAAGGAATAATTCTTATGACTGTGCTTTAACAAGAAGTCCTTAATTAATATCAATTACATAAGTAAAAATGCCAATTAATTAAAGACATGTATATTTGTGAGTTTTTCTTCTTTCAAAAGAAGTCTAATAATTTGTGGTATAACTACAGAAATTACAGAAGATGCTAACTGATTTATGTCCATCTTTTTAGGTGAGATTGACAATCTCTGATTACTTAATTTCTATTTGCTATTATTCAAAGAATTATTATTGTTCCTTCTGACATGATTATTGTAGTCTTAACTGCTGATACTTATTAACATTAAAATCATTCTACCACTTGAGAGGAGTGTGTTGGTTTGGTATTCAGTGAACACCTGTTTTCCTAAGAGATGAATGTTTGTCTAATTTACTAACTTTCCTTCATTATCTTCCCCAGATTTGGCTCACTGCTCAGTATCAAGGCCTCAGGTCTGGCACATTCTATTGGCCAGGATCAGATGTGGAGATCAATGGCATCCTCCCAGACATCTATAAAATATACAATGGGTATGTGTAGGTGTACTTCTTCAAAAGGATCTGGAATAGGAAACTGCTGATTTTTATCTCACCCTCCTTTTCTTTTTTTTACCAAGTCCTGGTATGGTGCTATGGGTTAATGCACTAGACTGCAAGGTCAGTTTGAATCACAAGGTCAGCTGTTCAAGCTCACCAGTCACTCCTTGGAAACCTTATACAGGGCCATTGAGTTGGAACTGACTCAAAGGCACTTAAAGCAACAAGCGCTAGCATTTGAATATGTTGATTAAAATGTGAGACCCATCAGAAAAAGAACTCAAAGCATTGTAGATAGATTGTGGACCCTAAAATTACAGAAGATGTAATTTACAAAAGATGTAAAGCATCAAAGGTGTTTTCGAGAAAGCTCTGACAATAGGCGTGTGTATATATATATATATATATATATATATATATCTTTTTTTTTTTTGTGGAAGGTTCCTTTTAACTATTTTTAATAAGACCATAAAGTTATTGTATTTTTTTGTATGCTTATGGAATTTGTGGCAAAATAATTTATCTTCTAGTGATGTATTTAGAGGACAAACAGAAAAGACCATAAATAACAGATAATCAATTAATCAATCTATCTATCTATACAAATTTTCTCTGGTGATCTTACTCTATATATTCTTAATGGCTCATCTGAACACTGTGTGTTACTTCTCCCTCATCTTATTATTTTCCATTTTTTAAAAAAATTCCATAGATGCTAATTGAAATTTTATGTGCTGTAGATAGTACTAAGTATAGTGGATTCAAAGGTTAGTGATACAAGGGTAAATCAAAAAGTATTACTACTAGGGTGTCAGTTCATAGGTGTTGTAGGGATTATGCCAAACAAAACATGTTTAAGCATGTCTATGCAACCAGTGGATGGCTGTAGACATGTTCTTTTAGTAATACACTTATGTTAATCTTCATAGAGTGCCTTCAAAAAAGAAAAGGTTCAGTCAAAACAGGGGCTTCTGAGTGGCTCTGCTAGGCAAGTTCAGTTCAAGGTAGAGTGTTCAGTTCAGAAGATTAAAATGACTGTTTTTTGGGGACTCCAAAGATTTACAGCCTTGAAGACCCTGTACAGGGTCGCTATGAGTCAGAACCAACTGCATGGCACATCACCACCACCACCAAAGGGGAGATGTTGATAGAGAATCTTGAAGGACACAGGGGCTTATTGGGAGAAAGTTTTAAGAAAGTTGAAACTGCACTGGTGAGAAGAAACCATGAAAGTTATGTCATAAAATATTTTTCATCACAGCAATTCTCTGACTCATTCTACCGTCTTTGGGAAGCCAGATCCTCTTTATTCTGTAGCCCAAGCTTGCCCATTCAGGCTTCTTTATATTGTTCCCCAAACACAAGGAATATTGAAAAGGAACACGATTCGAGTACCTGGAGGATGCCAAAACTGCTGTTTTATAGTGGTATAAATGGAAGAGCCTAGATTCTTCGAGGAAAGTTTATTGTTGTTACTGTAATTAAGTTCCAACTCATAGTGACCCAGTGCACACCAGAATGAAATCATGCCTGGTCCTGCCCCTCAAAGCTGTTATTTTTGAGCCCATTGTTGCTGCCCACAGTACCAATCTGTCCAATCATAGGTCTTTCTTTCTCTTTTTCTCTGACCCTCCACTTTACCAGCCATGGTGTCCTTTTCCAGGAACGGATCCTTCCTGACATCATGTCCACAGTATGAGAGATGAACTCTCACCATCCTTGCTTCTAAGGGGCTTTCTAGATGTACTTCTTCCCTAGATTTGTTTGTTCTTCTGGAAGTCCATGTCTTTTGGTTTCTTGACTATTGCTTCAGGAGTGTTGACTGTAGATGCATGCAAAGTATAGTCCTTGACAACCTATATTTCCTTTCCATGTAGCATGATGTTATTTATTGGCCCAGTTTTGAAGATTTTGTTTCCTTTACATTAAGGTGCAATCCATACTGAAAGCTGTAGTTGATTTTTTTTGTGTGTGTGTGTGTAGTTGATTTTTATCAGTAAATATTTTAATTCCTCTTTGCTTCCAGCAAACAAGGTTGTGTGATTTACATATCACAGATTTTTAATGAGTCTTCCTTCAAATCTGATGTCACTTTTGTCTTCATATAATCCAGTTTCTCAGATTATTTGCTCAGTATACAGGTTGAATAAGTATGGTGAAAGGACACAACACTGTGATACACCTTTCCTAATTTTAAAGCATTTAGTATCTTTCTGTTTTGTTCTAATAACTGCCTCTTGGTCTATGTACGTGTTCCTTATGAGCACAATTAAGTGTTCTGAAATACCCCTTCTTCACAATCTTATTCATAGTTTGATATGATTCACACAGTCGAATGCCATTTCATAAGCAGTGAAGCACAAGTAAACAGCCTTCTGGTATTCTCTGCTTTCAGCTAAGATCCATCTGATGTCAGTAATGATATACCTCATTCCATGTCCTCCTCTGAATCCAGCTTGAATTTCAGGCAGCTTCCTGTCAATGGACTGCTGCAAGCTTTTTGGATTTTCTTCAGCAAATCATTATTTGCATAAGAGATGTGTTACTCAATCATTTCTGCATTCTGTTCTGTCACCTTTCTTTGGAATGAGCGCAGTATGGGTGTTTTTCAATCAGTTGGCCAGGCTTCTGTCTGCCAAATTCCTTGGCATAGAAGAGTGAGTGCCTGGAGCTCTGTATCAGTTTTTCAGTAGTCAATTCCAGGGGACTTGTTTTTCATTAATGCCTTCAGTGCAGCTTGGACTTCTTCCTTCAGTACCATTGGCTCTTGATCGTATGCTGCCTCTTGAAATGGTTGAACATCTTCCATTTCTTTTTGATACAGTAACTGCATTCTTTCCATCTTCTTTTGATGCTTCCTATGACTTTAATATTTTGTCCATAGAATCTTCAGTACAGCAAGTTGAAGTTTGAATTTTTTTCTTCAGTGCTTTCAGCTTGAGAAATGCTGAGCATGTTCTTCCTTTTGGTTTTCTAACTACAGTTCTTTGCATAGTTCATTATAATGCTTGACTTTGTCTTCTCAAGCTGTCCTTTGAAATTTTTGTTCTGCTCTCTTATCTCATTTCTTCCAATTGTTTTAGCTTCTCTACATTTAAGAACAAGTTTCAAAGTGTCTTCTGACATCCAGTTTGGGCTCTTCTTTTTTTCCTGACTTTTTAATGACCTTTTGCATTCTTCATATAGGATGTTTTTGATGTCATTCCACAGATCTCCTTGTCTTTGGTCATTAGTGTTTAATGCATTAAATCTGTCCTTGAGAAAGTCTCTAAATCTAGTTGAGATATAGTCAGGATCATATTTTAGCACTCATGGACTTATTTTAATTTTCTTTAGCTTCAGCCTGTACTTGCATATGAGCATCGATGGTACTGAGTTTCTCCATTGTCTCTTCCCATTGATATAGTTATTTTAATTACTGTCTATTTCATCTGGTGAGATCTATATGTACCTTTTATGTTGTTGACAACAGATATTTGCAATGAAAGTCACTGGTCTTGCAAATTCTGTCATGTGATCTCCAGTGTCATGTCTTGTCACTAAGGCTATTTTCCAACAACAGATCCTTCTTTTTGTTTCCAAGTTTTGCATTCCACTCATCAGTAATTGTCAATGCGTGTAGTTTTGATCATTTTCAGCTAGAGAAAGTTGTAGAATTCTTCAATTTCATCATCAATGACTGTAGTGGTTGTTGCGTATTTTCTGGTCTTCATATAAGTGTGTGGCTATTATCCTATTTCAGACAGCATTATATTTCAAGGTAGATCTTGAAATGCTTTTTGTGATGATGAATGTAATACCATTCCTCTGCCTAGTAAGCCATATATTTGTACCATTCAGAGAAACCAGTACCAGTCTGTATCAACTCACTGATGGTGAGAATATCAGTTTTTATGTAATCCATTTCATTTTTGATGACTTCCAGGATTCCTAGTTTCATACTTCATGCATTCTATGCCCTAATTATTAATGGATGTTTTGCAGCTATTTCTTCTCCTTTTGAGTTTTGCCTCATCAGCACATGAAGGTCCCCAAAAGGTTACTATATCTACACCATTAATGTCAAATCTACTTTGACGAAGCAGCTCTTCCCTTCCAATCTGAGGTGCTCATCTTACAGCACTGTTTCAGACAATGTTCTCCTATTATTCTTAAGGTTTTAGTGACTTACCACTCAGAAATGATCTGTTTCTCCTTCTTCCTAGTGTGTGTCTTAATCTGGAAGGTCCATTGAAACCTGTCCACCATAGGTGTCCCTGATAGTATTTAAAATATTAGTGGCATAACTTCCAGCAACACAACAATACACAAGCCACCACAGTACAACAAACTGACAAATAAGTGGTAGTGAGAAGGCTTGTTATTGTTAAGTGCTGTCAAGTTGGTTCCAACTCGTATTGATAGGATTTCCAAAGAGCAGCTGGTCTGTTTGAACCCTGACTTTGCAGTTAGCTTTCCAGTGCTTATCCTACAGTGCCACATGGTTGTTGTTGTTAAGTGCCATCGAGTCGATTCCGACCCATAGTGATCCTGTAAAGGATTTTCAAGGAGCAGCTGGTGAGCTTGGACCACCGACCTCTCAGTTCAAACAACTTTGTAGTCTGGCACATTAGCTCACAGCACCACACCAGGGCTGCATGGTTAGAGATATGGAAATACTGCCTTCAGAAGTATGTAGACCTGTGGTGCTAGTGGTTGTGTGCCATCAAGTCAGTTCCAACTCATAGAGATCACGTATAGGGTTCCCAAGGCTCAGATTTTTATGGGAGTAGAAAGCTGCTTCTTCTCCTGCAGAGCGACTGGTGGATTCAAACTGCTGACCTAGCAGTTATGCTGCCAGGACTCCTTGTGAATAGCCCTAGATGGAGGGCATGTTCAGAAGCAGCAAGTTTACATTATAACATTTTTGTTCAATAATGGTTTCTATGATTTTTGTGGAAATACTTTTTAATTTACACTCCTATATGGGCTTTGCAGCACTGTAGGATAAAGCACTGGACTGAAAGGTCTGTTTGAACTACAAGGTCGGTGGTTCAAACCCACCAGCCATTCATCGGAAACCCTATGTAGGTTGGAACCAACTTGACAACACTTAACAGCAACGTACGGGCTCTACCTCTCAAGGTCTAACAAGGACCACAGTTAACTGTACTTGGACAGGTACTGTGTTGGAGGTGTGTAAACAGGTCTGTGCCCATAGGAAGGTATAATTAATTTTACTGAAGAATGGTTGTCTGGAGAGCCAGATCCTCATTAGGGTTTACTTCCCTTCCCAATTTTACTATGTGTCATCAGTGGGTGACTTCTTCATGAGGTATCCTTTGCTGAAGTATTAACATTTGGGTTAATCCTATGGTATGCAGTGGGTAGTCTCAGGTATATAATGATACCCTGAAGTCCAGGAAGTAATTTTTATAACCTGTTTACAACTTCTGTATGTGGGCAGCTTTCCCTGGAATGAAAAATGTAGTTTAGACAAATAAAACTCTAACACTTCTTCAACACAATTAATACAGTGTATTGTTTTTAGTATCTCTTAGCATTATTTTCGGTAAGAAAAACGTTTATATTTTAAATATAAGCCAACAGTTGTCACAGATTTGTTTCATTTTGTTTATCATTAATGTTAGATCAGTGCCATTTGAAGAAAGGATTTTAGCTGTTCTTAAGTGGTTACAGCTTCCCAAAGATGAAAGGTATGTTGTTGATTAATTTCCATCTTAAATACTCATTGGTTTCATAGAAATTATGCAGTATTTAAAAAATAGACTGCAATAAAACTTTGCTGTTGGCTGTGATAGTTCACGTCTAAGTGAACTCTTTTGTGAACTGTTGCAGTTACTTTTTCAAGAATTTCAAACCTGTAAATGATTTCTCAGCATGTTTAGAAATATTCCTTAAGTTTTGTTGAATTTTTAGTTGCTATCAATTGTTGAATTATTCTTTTCATTTCTGTTTTTCAATGTGTTCGTAAAATATTACATTTTGATACTGTTTGATTTAGACCACACTTTTACACTCTGTATTTAGAAGAACCAGATTCTTCAGGTCATTTTTATGGACCAGTCAGCAGTGAAGTAAGTACATTTTTATCAGTGTTTATACTCGATTAATAAAGTTTAACAACAATTATGAGGATGGCGTAAGATCGGGTAGTGTCTCATTCTGTTATGCATAGGATCGCTGTGAGTCTGAACCAACTTGATAGTAGTTAACAACAAACAACTATATTAAACTTGGTATCATTTCACTGAATCTTGTTTTTAAGCAGCTTTCTAGACCATTTTATAAGATTCCATGATTTCTGGGAAGAGTTAGTGTTAAGCACAATTTTACTAAGCCAAAGAATATGCTTTAATCCAAATGAGGCTGGGAGATTATTTTGTTTACATTTTCTACGTTGCTAAATTGAACTGATGATGAATTCAACTCTATATGATTTCTAATTTCTATTCTATTCTGTTTCTCTTACTTTATCCTAAAAATGAAATGCTTTTTGATAGTTCTACTGCCATTGTTTCTGTATTTTATATTTTATTCTAGTTCTATTATCCACTCCTTATCTCCCTTGTTGTTAAGTACCATTGAGTTGATTCCGACACATAGCAACCCTGTATAGGGTTTCCAGGGAGCAGCTGGTGAGCTTGAACCATCGACTTTGCAGTTCAAATGACTTTGCAGTCTGACACATTAGCCCACAGCACCACACCAAGACTCAATGTTTGTAGCTGTTGTTAAGTGCCATTGAGTTGGTTCTTACTCATAGCATCCCTGTATAGGATTTCTGAGGCGTGGCTGATGAGCTTAAACCACCAACCTTGTGGTTCAAACCAACATTGCAGTACAGGGCATTAACCCGCAGCACCACACCAGAATGACTGACTTTATTCATGATGTGCTTTCTGACTTCCCTTGATGTTCTGGAGCTGTGTGCCCTGTGGGTTTATCCATACTTAGCCATCCCAGAGTTTACTCCAAACAGCATTGGCATCATTTGCCATTTTGATTCATCCACTTTATGGCTTCCCCTGTTATTGTTTGATGTCGGATAATATACATTTCAAATCCAGTGCTGTCTTTTCTGATTTCTAATTCATTAAAGATTTTCCAAGGTACCTGCTTCCTGACTCATCTTCATTCAAGTTTGAGTCAGTTTACTTTTCAGATCATATTCATTAATTTGTAAAGTCAGTTAAACTCTCATATTACTGGCACATCAAACTCAGCTTGTTTTAACACTTAAAATTTCTGATCCACGTTGTTGAGTTCATATTGAAAGAGATTGATCCTGTTTCATTGTAATCCATTATTACTGAAGGTGAAACATAATAAAGAAAAAGTATGCTAAAGTGCACATGGATTTTTCTCAGGTGGTTTTGAAAGGAGAAAGGAACAGATTAATACCAGAGAGCAATTTGCCAAAACCGTTTGCTTTTCTGTCCTTGTGATACATATAAGCAGAATATATGCTGTTTGCAAGAAGAAACTGGATTGTATTGATAAGAGTTCTAACTAAAAAAACAACAACAGCAATATAGAACTATCAGAGGCATTTCATAAATAATTTAAAGTTTTTGAAAATTAGAAAGCTTCTTTTCATTATAACATTTAAAATATTTACTGTGTCAGAAATCAAGAAGAAATTGCAGAAAAGAAGTGATAATTAAATGAGGTGTACATTCATTTCTATCCAAACACATTGGATTTGAGATAGTGTAAACTGAATGAATCTGGTTCAATAGGTAGCATTTTGAGGCTTTAGGAAGGGAGAGCTGATCAGAACACCTAGTCTTATTCCCAGAAGCTAAGACTAAGCATACAGAAGTCCTGGTCTGGCACTGTGGGTTAATGCGCAGTACAGCAAAGTCATTTGAACTGCAAGGCTGGCACTTTAAGCTCACCAGCTGCTCCTTGAAAACCCTATACAGGGTCGCTATGGGTCGGAACCAACTTGACAGCACTTAACAACAACACTGGAGACCTAGGAGCCCTGGTGTGGCGCTGCAGGATAATACACTGGACTGCAAGGCCAGTTCAAACCCACCAGCCGCTCCTCAGAAACCCTACAGTGAAGAGTGCTATGAGTCGAAATTGACTTGACGGCACTTAACAACAACACTGGAGTCCTGATGGCACTGTAGGATAAGCGGCAGGACTGCAAGACCAATTTGAACCACAAAGGTCAGCGGTTCAAACTCAACCAGTTAATCCTTAGAAACTCTATACTGGGTGCTATGAGTCGGAAGCGACTCAATGGCACTTAACAACAACAACAAATTGGAATCCTAGCGTGGCACTGTAGGTTAAGCACTGTACCTTAAGGTCAGTTTGAAGCACAAGGTCGACAGTTCAAACCCTCCAGCTGCTCCTTGGAAACCCTATACCAGGTCACTATGAGTCTAGTCTGAACCTACTCAATGGCACTTAACTACAACTATACTGTTAGTGATCTGCACCGATTTCATGCCCTTCTGTTTTAACTGACCTGCCTTGCCCAGCATGAGTAAATTAATTGCAGTATTGGCATCCATTGAATTTTTTTTTTTTTTTTAAACAGATAGTTTTACATATAAGTAGTCATTAGTGTGGAAAACATCACACGAGGTTACTTCCTTTTCTCAGGTCATCAAAGCATTGCAGAGGGTTGATGACATGGTGGGCATGCTGATGGATGGGCTGAAGGAGCTGAACTTGCACAGATGCCTGAACATCATTCTCATTTCTGATCATGGTAAACTCAGTGTACATCATTTACCTGTCTCCTTCTCCCCTTGTCCCAAAAGACAGTTCACTTGGTTATTGTTTACTTTTCTCCTGTGAATGTTGTTGTTGTTGTTGTTGTTATGTGCCATCGAGTCGGTTCCGACCCATAGCGACCCTGTATAGGGTTGTAGTTATTTGAAATTACATTGAAAAGAATTCACATATAAAATTTCATGTAAAATTAAATGCAGTTCATTTACCTTAAGAAATGTAATTTCTTTCATAATAAAGCCTGTAGAAGTCTTTAGGCAATGTAAAGCACAAATGAAATAGAATTCACCCAAAAACTTACCAACTACAATATAACTATTTTTCTAACTAGGGAAGTTTTACTCCAGGGATTTGGATAGTTAGCAAACATTTTTTCTGCTATTTAAATTTTGGCAAATCCATGCTAACTATGTTTAAATTATTTTGAACAGACTATTATACAGCACTTCCATTTCTTTTGGGTTAACTCTGATTTTAAAGGCCATATATATGAATTTTAACAATATTTTATTCTCATTTTACTTACTGTGTGAGCATTATAGCATATGTCTGTGTGGAGCTTTGAGACTATAGAAGTATACAAAATGTAGAAAGCAAGTTTTCATTTTGTATATTCGTTGTAATAGCCACCTTCAGAAGTCATTGCTGATAGCTGTTTCCAGAAACAGTCCTAAAATGTTTTATCTCAAAGAAGCCCTCCCCCTAGAATGAGATGTGTTTTCTTAGGCGAGTTGGGGAAACTATTTAGTATTTGGGCTTTTATTTTATTTTATTTTAAAACTATAGGTAGACATTCCTCTTCACTAATATAAATATTTTATAAAATATAAATAAGAAGAAACAATAATTTAGAGTGAAGAAAAGGAAAATGGTTTTGAAACCAGATGAAATTTTTGTGTCTTATTTATTAGGTGCTCATCTAACATAAGTGCTAAATATGTGCATATTGAAGGATTCTGTTCTGCATGTTAAATGTTGTATTAAAGTTTAACATGTTTGGGCATTTTTCTTCTAGGTATGGAGCAAGGCAGTTGTAAGAAATATATATATCTGAATAAATATTTGGGGGATGCTAAAAATATTAAAGTTATCTATGGACCTGCAGCTCGATTGAGGCCAACTGATGTCCCAGATAAATACTATTCATGTAAGTAGATCATTGTGCTAACTTCAAATATGATTACACTCAGAATGTTGTTGTTGTTGAGTGCCATGGAGTCTACTCTGACTCATAGCGACCCTGTATAAGGTTTCCAGGAGCAGCTGGTGGGTTTGAACTGCTTACTTGTGGTTCATAGTCCAATGCTGATCCTACAGTCTCACACCAGGAGTCTGAATACACTATTCTAAATCATTGTGGCTCAAAACCAAAGGGAATCAATTAGATTTTCAGATGTGTTATATCCAAGGGAATTTTATGAGTTTGATGTGAGGATACAAGTCAAACCACTTATTTATTATCATGGGCTCAGCATCAAATTTGTTAAGTATGGTACCCAGGATCAGGCAGTGTTTCGTTCTGCTGTGCATAAGGTCGCTATGAATCAGTACCGACTCAATGGCACCTAACAACACCAAGAAAAAGTACAGTCTTATGCTGTTGTGTGTCTTTTGTTTTGGGCTCATGATTTTTGTACTAGGAAAAATAGGGAAAAATTCAACTATATTTTGTTCAAGTTTAATTAATCAATTCTACTCCATTTTAAAAAGGAGTACCGATGTGGCCCTGTGGGTTAATGCTATGGACTGCATGGTCGGTTTGAACTGCACAGTTGGAGTTTCAAGCTCACCTACTGATCTTTGGAAACTCTATGTTGTGTTGTTGTGAAGTGCCATTGAGTCGATTCCGACCCATAGTGACCCTGGATAGGTTTTCCGAGGAGCAGCTGGTGAGCTTGAACTGCCTACCTTGAAGGTCAAATGGCTTTGCAGTCTGGCACCTTAACACACAGCAGCACACCAGGCCTATACAGGGTCACTATTAGTTGGAACCAACTTGACATCACTTAACAACAACACTCCATTAAAATAACTTACAACTATTTTATAATATTTTCTTACAAAGAAGAATGCTAGTAGAGATGATTAATTATATAAGCAATTGATTCTTGTCCTAAGAAATGACTTCCCAAAGCTATTCCAAAAAACCAGTAAGAATGTTTCTTTAAAACAGTGAAGAAGAAATTTCATATTCTCTCTTGACCGCATGCAGTCTCCAAACTGCCAAGAAATTTTAAAAAATGCTCATTGCTTTTCAAATCAAGTTCATTGTCATAACTGCTTTGACCTCTGTTACCCCTCTTTCTGAGTACCATCCTTGTTAAATTTCAGATACTTTGGGTAAATCTTATCTTTTTGTTACAATTAACCTAGAAGCAAACAGAGAAAACAAGCTTTGGGCAACACTTATCAGGATTGGATTAAGTTTGGGCACTGCAGTGCTATATATTTTAATAGATGCTGTTGAATATTCATGAGAAGAAACAATTTCACAGCGGGGAAGTAGTTATGCAAATATATTAGCATAGTGATACCAAGTGCGGACTTCATATGCACAAAGATAACTCTTAAAAAAAAAAAAAGTTTGAAAGTGGTACATAATTGTTATTAAATCTGTTTGAAAACCTGTACAGGCAGTGGCAATCCCCAGAGATGTTTAGGATTGAATGCCTAAGATGGAGTCACACACTTATCTTATGTAAGACCTTTAAATCAAAACCCAAACCCATTCCTGTGAAGACTGCATTCATTTTTTCACAGAGTGACCCTACAGGACAGGGCAAATATTCACAGAAGCAGCCTGCCATGTCTCTCTTTCCATTGGAGGCTGGTAGATTTGAACTGCTGACCTTTCAGTTAGCAACTGAGCACTTAACTAGCGTACCACTAGACTCCTTAATTAGGACCTAGTTTTTGTTGTTAGTGCCGTAGAGTCGATTCTTACTCAGAGTGACCCTGTATAAGGTGTCCAAGGAACAGCTGGTGGGTTTGAACCACTGACCTTGTGGTCAGCAGTCCAGTGCTTATCCTACAGCGTCACCCCAGGACCTTGTTGTTGTTGTTGCTAGGTGCCATTGAGTTGGTACTGACTCATAGCGACCCTATGCACAGCAGAAGGAAACACTGCCCGATCCTGGGCCAACCTCACTAGTGTTGCCATGATCAATGATGCCACCTGGCCGTTCCATCTCGTTGGGGGTCTTCCTTTTTTTCTCCAACCCTCCATCTTACCTAGCATAACGTCCTTCTCCAGCAACTGCTCCCTCCTGACAATATGTCCAAAGTATGAGACGAAGTTTAGCCATCCTGGCCTCCAAGGAGCACTCTGGCTGCACTTCTTCGAACACAGATCTATTGGTTCTTTTGGCAGTCCATGGCACTTTTAATATTCTCCTCCAACACCACAACTCAAAGGCATCAATTCTGCTACGATCTTCCTTATTCACTGTCCAGCTTTCACATCCATCTGAGGTTAACTTGGCTGCAGTTCTTCCAAAACGGATCGATTGGTTCTTTCAGCAGCCCATGACACTTTCAGTATTCTCCATCACCATAACTATGGTCTTCCTTATTTACTGTCCAGCTTTCACATGCATATGAGGTTATTGAAAATACCATAGCCTGGGTCAGGTACACTTTAGTCTTCAAGCTGACATCTTTGCTCTTCAACACTTACAAAAGGTCTTGTGCAGCAGATTTGCCTAATGCAATACGTTCTCTGATTTCTTGACTGCTGCTTCCATGAGTGTTGATAGTTGATCCAAGAAGAGTGAAGTCCTTGACAACTTCAATCTTTTCTCCGTTGATCAGATTTATTGGTCCATTGGTGAGGATTTCTGTTTTCTTGACATTGAGATGTAATCCATACCGAAGACTGTCTCTTTGATCTTCATCAGTAAATGTTTTAAGTCCTCTTCACTTTCAGCAAGCAAGGTTGTATCATCTGCATATTGCAGGTTGTTAATGAGTCTTCCTCCAATCCTGATGCCATGTTTTTCTTCATAGAACCCAGCTTCTCTGATTATTTGCTCAGCATACAGGTTGAATAAGTATGGTGAAAGAATAAACCCTGTCGCACACGTTTCTTAATTTTAAACCATTCAGTGTTCCCATGTTCTGTTCAAACAGTTGCCTCTTGGTCCATATACAGATTCCTCATAAGCACAATTCAGTATTCCGGAATACTCATACTTCTCAATGTTGTCCATAGCTTGTCATGATCCACACAATTGAAAGCCTTTGTATAGTCAATAAAGCACAGGTAAATATCTTTCTGATATTCTCTGCTTTCACCCAAGATCAATCGGACATCAGCAATGATATCCCTCATTCCACAGCCTCTCTTGAATCTGGCTTGAACCTCTGGAAGTTCTCTGTCAATGTATGCTTGCAGCCATTTCTGTTTTACCTTTAGTAAAACTTTACTCACATGGGATATCAAAGAGATTGTCCAATGATTTCTGCGTTCCATTTGGTCACCTCTCTTTGGAATAGGCACAAATACAGATCTCTTCCAATCAGTTGGCGAGATAGTCGTCTTCCAAATTTTTTGGCAGAGATGAGTGAGTGCCTCCTGTGCCGCCTTCACTTTCTTGAAAGATTTCAATTTTTTTTTTAAATAAATGTTTTATTGTGAATTGTGTGATAGTTTACATGGGAGAACATTTATTTTACATTCATTCTATCATACATCATTTCATTGCCATAGTTACCATCCCGTCCATGCATCATCACCCAATCAAAGGGTATACCTGCAAGCCTGCCTGCCCCCCGCCACGGTCCTCAGCACACAGCCCCTTTCCCTCTGGATCTCAAGGCCCCAGCCACTCCATCTCTTCACATCATCTTCTCTGCCTCCATCTCAGGCCTCACTGCTTCTCTGAGTAGGGTCGCGCTCTCTGCTCTTCTCCATTGATGGTCCCAGTGCCCTCCACTCCTAGACTGAAAAGTTAATCGCTCCCCTCCTTGCTATAAAATGTCCACCTTTACATTTCCAACCCTCACAGTCAGTCCTGGTAACAGTTATTCACTATTTCATCACAAGAGACCCGTCTGCATTTCATTTCATCAGCCCCTCCTGGACAGACTGGATACTATTCACTGGAGACTCTACCATCCTCCCCGCCCTGTGGATCTAGGTTCCCTTTTGAAAGCTTGTAAGCTAGTCACTTCTTACCTTTGTTTCCCTCCCCAACTTTTGGGTAGCCAATGTCCAAGTTGCCCATCCCTGTCTACTCTTTGTGTGGAGGGGGTGGGAATAATTCTTGCAGCAGGTATTTGTTTCCTCTTTTGAGCTATTGCATTTATAGGTGTAGGTCAAGGTTATCAAGTTGTATCAGATGACGCTTTTTTCCTCTTGTTTCTTCTTCGGGTTGAGCTCTGTTCATCCAGTCATTGAAGCCAGGTCAAGTGGGTATCATCTGCAATTGTGGGTGTTCTTGTGTCTGTCTGCCCTCTTCTTATCAGCTGGCTGCTTTGCTCTCCACTCTAGTCCTCTGTGGCTGTGTCATTGACTCTGAGCCCATGAGTCCCCAGGTCTTGCCTCGCTGCTGGCCAACCAGGTCTCCACCAGGGTTCACAGTAGTCTGCTGAACAATGTAGGGTTTAGCTCGCCGCTTCATTGATGTTCTTCGGTCACTTCCCCTTATGGGTGATGTGTGTGGTCGCCAATCAGAGTGTGAATTTCCATTGCATCTTAGTCTTGGAAGAGGATTTGCACTACGAGGACCCGACCACTTGCCTTGATGTCTCCTGGGCAAGCAACTTGCTTGTTCTTGTGGTAACAGTTGGACTGCCCTTATTGTTTTGTATTTTTCCTGTAGGTCTTTAAAAGATTTCAGTTGTTATGCCATCAGTTCCTGGTGCCTTGTTCTTTGTCAGTTCCTTCAGTGTACCTTGGACTTCCTCCTTCAGTATCAGGACCGTAGTTCTTTCTAATTAAAGCACACACACTCAAAAAACAGCAGCAAAAGCACCATACCATTACCTATTTATCTCCTTACATACAGGGTCCTTGTGAATCAGGACCAATGGGACAACACTAACAACAGTAATAACACGTATACATACATGTACATGTGACGGGGTTCTGGAGGAGAAGCACTGTTCTGTGAACCACAGTTGTTGGTTTAAGCCCACCACCCACTTAAAGACGAGGCTTTCTGCTGCACAAAGATTTATGGCCTGAGAAACCCTATACAGAGTCGCTATGAGCGAGCTGGAACTGACTTGATGGCACTTAACAACAACAACATACATACAAGTACACATACCATACATATGAAGGGCTTCAACAACATACACACAAGTACACATACCATACATATGAAGGGCTTCAACAACATACAAGTACACATACCATACATATGAAGGGCTTCAACAACATACACACAAGTACACATACCATACATATGAAGGGCTTCAACAACATACACACAAG